GGAGAAAGATTAAGTCTTCTACTCCTGTAAAGAGTTATAGTCTTGGAAACTCACAGGGATGGTTCTACCCTGATACTGTAGGGTTGCTAGGAGTCAGCATCTACCGGATGGCAGTGAGTTTGGCTTTTTGTTTATGTAGTTATAACAACAAAAACATTTTTTGCAAGCCCAATTTACATGCATCCATATAATAACAAGACTACAACCCTAGGCTGTTTTATTTTTGAGGGGACTTGCTAATAGTCTCTGGTCACAATGATACTTTGAATCATGCACATGGTTTTATCTGCACAGCCTACAAGCACTCCTTGTTGTTTTAGTTGCTGTTGGTATTTTTATAGTCCCTGATTTTATTCAATTTTTTGATATTTTAGCTACAGTATTGTTGTGGCTTGTACTTGTGAACCTATACCAATAACTATTTTGAAAATACAGTAGTAATTTAAGGAACAGAAGAGAAAAAAGGTTTCTGTCAATAACGAACAATGTTGTAACTCAATGTAGATTTTGCAAAATAATTTGTTCGCATTCATATAATCTAAGAAATATTACTTTTAAGCAACTCACAATCATGTTTATCACATTTATTCTATGACTAAAAGAGATATTAAACATCACTGAAGATTCTATACAGCCTGGTACAGGAAGAGGTCCGGGGGTGGGGGGATTGGTACCATGAGTTACCGCCCTGGATGACACCAACCCAAGGGAGCCACTGACACACAAGCCTCCCCTGACAGATGGGTGGGGCTGGGCATGAGGTGCAATGACCCAAACTGGAACCCAGATCGCCCACATGGTAGGCACGACTTCCCCCATGGAATCACCACTGTTCTCTTGAGAAAGAGTAAGGGCAGAAAACAAGACTTTCTAATGAACAATTGGGGGACAGGAGGTGCTGAGAGAAGATCCAGGGGCTTTGGAATACTTTAAAAGAAGTAACTTCTGTGGAGGGTGGCGTTGGAGAAGGTCTCATAGAGCTGACGTCTCAGTTGGGAATTATGAGGAGGAGAGAAAGGGTGGGCTTTCAAGACTAATAGATAGGGTGAGCACAGCCATTCCGAAAGAAGAAAGATGGGCTTGTTTTCTGGAGAGGGTGAGGTATTTGTGGGACCGAGTGATGGCACTAGTCAGACCTGGAAAAGCCTTATTTCTTGCATTACATTTATTTCTCTGTCATGGGGGTCACAGAAATGCTTGGGGTAGTAAGCATCAAGTTCCTCTTTGACTTTCAGGATGACCTTGGTTTCAGTGGAAAAGACTGATGATACTCACCAAGGAGACCCAGGAGAGTACTGTGGCCTGATGCAGGGGCGCTGTGGCAAGGGACTGACATAGGCCAGTGGGATGCAGATGGAGAGCAGGGAATGGTGACAGAATGGAGGGAGCTGGAGTGAAGGTGGGCGGGAAGGAACCCGCTTGGAGGGTGGGTGCCAGTCACCCAGTTTGAAGTCAGGTGCAGGTTTAGGTGGAGAGTAAGAAAGCGCAGTAATGATTTTTAATTCAGGTCTGTCTGGTGGAAGCTGGTAAACGATTGGAAAAATGGAGACCTGTCACCTGAGGAAGGTTGAATAGTATTTAGGAGTTTGTAAAATGCTGGTATTTGATGACAATGGAATGTATGGCTCTGTAAGGGCGTCTTTAAAAAAGGAGTCTTAGAGTGGCGAAAAGAAGGAGACATCGGATTAGAATCCCAAGACATAGAATTTCCCCTTCCCCCAAATAACATGAAGGTGACTTGGTGGTGCAGTGGTTAAGCGCTCAGCTGCTATGAACATTTGGGGGCTCAGCCCACCCGTCTCTCTCCAAGAGAGAGACAAGATCGTCTGGAAGCATTCTGTATGCATGTAGAGCATTGGAGACCTGATGGGACAGTTCTAGGCATCCCGAGAAGCAGACTCTTTGATGTGGCGAAAAGCAAGGTAAGCGCGGGCAAACTTACTAATATGTAGCGAGTAATTTCACAGGGGTCAAAAACATGTGAAGTTATTCACTCCAGTATAGTCAGGAAGCACGAGAAAGCCCATGCTGATACTGCTTATGTGGTACTCGGACACTAGTGGTCTTCCAGAAGAGTGAACACATCCATGGTAGGAGAAGAGCCTCCGGCTTGCTCACATTGACCAGGTCGTCAGGGAAGATGAAATCCCTGAAAAGGACAAAGTGAAACCCAGAGCTGTCCTCGCTGTGATGGGCAGATGCAATAGATGGACTCAAACATTGCAACAGTCATGAAGGGGGCGACCCAAGACCAGGCAATGCTCCATTCTACAATCCATAAAATCTCCACCAGTTGGGGCTGACTAGTCTGTGAGTAGCAACCAGGACAACAGAAATACCACCACATAAATGACCAAGAGGGAGAGTTCATTTTACACAGGTCTCAGGAGGATCAACTAGAGATGTGGGACAACTTGGTTATGGTGATCTTGAGAAGCCGATGCAAAATAATAATAATAATGCTGTCAGTGTTTGATTTTAGTTCTTTTTTTCTTTCACTTACATTTGTGGCCTAGTGTCTTGAGAGTCACAGGTTGATTAACTATAGCTATCATGTACAACAATAAACAATAGAAAACAGGACCTATAGGACGAGTTCCCTAACAAATGTCAGCTCAACTTCACGGATGGATGTTATGCAGGAAGATTTTTAATCTCTTGGCTAATTCAAAAATTTTTTTCACAGTGCCTTCTCAAAGTCCAAATTCACTGCCATTGAGTTGATTCCGATATTGACCCTCTAAGATAGAGTAGAACTGCCTCAGTGGGTTTCCAAGACAGCAGCTCTTCACAGGTGTAGAAAGTCTCATCTTTCTCTTACAGAGTGGCTGGAGGTTCCGAACTGTGGATCTTAGCAGTATCTACTAAGTATGTAAAAAGGATGAGGAGATTAGTGGATTGGCCCTTGCCTAGAAAAACCCATTTTGATCTAGTAGGTGTGTAGTTATGGAAAACAAACATAGCAGATACTGCAGGATAAGCTGAAGAGTCTCACATGCCTGTTTTAGGGTGGGGGTAATAGAGTGTGGGACATGTTACAAAACAAGAAAATCTACAATGCAGCCTGAGATAGGACTGGCCGGAAGTTCAGAACAGCTTAGTGGGGGGAGTGAGGGAGGAGGGGTGGAGGTTTTCCATAAAATCTAGACAAAGAAATAAAACAGAAGATTTTGCTGTGAAGTGAAAATAAAAATCACTAAATCCAGGTTCTAGCCTTGCTCGGATATAGGCTGCTCATCCAAAGGTTGGAAGTTTGAACCCACACAGACGCTTGGTGGAAGAAAGGCCAGAAGAACGGTTTCCTTAAAAATCACCAAGAAAGCCATATGCAGTACTTCCATTCGGCAACACACGGGGTCGCCGTGAGTCTGGTAAACTCAAGGGCAGACAGCAACAGCTGAGCTAACACCCCTGCTCTGCTATCAGCTAAGCCTTGGCAAGACCCTTAGTCTTCCCATGCAAGGATGGCTCCGTGCTTGGAAGAAGGAATGGCTGTCTTATTCCCCGCCCCGCTTGTTCCAGGTGCTTCCAACAGGTGACTTCTCAAAGATTGGAGTCTGGAGCACACAGGAAGGTTAACCTTGTTTCCCCCCTTTCTAAGAACAGGTGCGTGGGGAGAATTCCGGATTCATAGTGGTGTGCCTTTTGATGGCCTCAGGTGGTTCATTTCCAAAAGAGAGACAGACCGTGCACGTGTCGTGTTTAAGGGCAAGAGCCTTGGAGAGAGACTTGTTTAAATTCGGCATCTGTCTCATTCCTCCGGGTGACCTTTGGCAATTTACTACACCCCAATCTACCCAGTAGGTACCCAGGGATTAAAGGATCCTGCCTACAACCTCCAGAGCACAGCGTCTCGCCCAGGGTGGGCTGGCCAGAAATCATCTCGCGTCGAGCAGGGGCTAGCTATTGTACTAGTAACACCCAAGAAGGGGCGCCGGGGCACCTCCGCCAGTCCGCTCCTCCCCAAATCTCGGGCAGGCACAAAGCCAGCGTCCTGGAACTTCAGGGACTCGGGGTGGGTGGGACCTTGATGGGTGGGACCCTAGAGTTCTTGGCGTGGGCGGAGGCGCTGAGTCTTGGGGTCTTTGTCACCCGCAAGAGGACGGGGTCCCCCTTCCTCTGGCGGTCCGCTCCTTCGGGGACAAGACTGGCGTCTGGCGCGCCCCCCGCCCCTCCGGAGGGTTTCCGCGGGCCGGTTCAGAGGCGGGCGCGAGCGAGAGAGGAGGGGCGACTGGGGGAATTTCCCCGCCTTTCTCTCTCTGCGGCCATAAATCACCGCAGCGGTGGCGGCCGCGGCGGCGGAGCCGGGAAGTGCACAGAGCCGGAGCGCAGCGTGGTGGCACCA